TCTGGCCACTACACTGTTCCACCAGTGCCAAGTGGTCCTAAACCAGTCACACCCAACCTTGGAGGGTCTCTCTTGAATGGTGGAATCTCAGGAAGAATAGAGATACTGTGGTGGCTCTTACCTACCTCCCTGCCATCAGAGAACAGAGGTCTTGGTCAGAGTGTCCGTACATCCTGTAGAGCACTGACTGTTATAATAGCAGCCTTCAGGCTGCTTCAAATTTGTGTCAGGCACTGGACTGCTGCAGAACACAGCCAAGAATAGGAGGAATACAAAGGCCACTCCCACTTCTGAGTTGTGCCCAGTGCCTTCCAACCACAGCTGAGGACCTTGGGTCCCATGGTGCTGTGCCCAGCTGTGCTTTGCTCTTTGCTCCCTGGTAGTCCTATAGTCACAAATATTCTCTGACAGAAATTAAATATATCAGAAGTGAAGAAGCAGGACTACAAGAACGTAAAGAAAATTGAGGAGTAGAGACGTGATATACCCAAGATCAAACAGCAAATGGGCTCCAGAGAGCCAAGAACAGAACCAGGTCTCCTCACTTCCAGTTCTAGGCCCCGTCCACCAGATCATCCTGATAGCCAGTAATTCAAATTCACATCCCAACACTGCCAATTCAAGCCTTTTGGATTGCACTGTATGTCAAAATGCATAGGAGCCGTTTACAGAGGAGTACATGCATTCCTGTATCTGGACAATTGGCTGATCAATGACAGCACTTTAAAAAGGATTTCAAAGATAAGTCATATTAGCATTGAGGTGCTGAAATCACTAACTTTCTTATACTACTCAAATCCCTGGAATATATAGGAGTCCTGCTAGCCGTTGTTTAGATGAAATCCTTTTCGTTTAAGAGTCAGACACTGTAGAATTCATGGGCAGAATAAAAGAGGCACGAGAAGGCCTCAGCAAAGAACCATGTGGAAATATTTGGTCTCATGGTCACAACAGCTTTTCTGATTCTCATCGCATGTGTCTACTTAATTTGCCCTCAGAGTATCCTGACATCTAGCTGCTCATGTGTGACTCAGACTTTTGATCTTATCTAAGTGAAAGAAACCCTTCAAGAAACTTTGGCTTGGTAAAAATAGTAAATAAATTAAAATCAGAGGCAACATTTCAAAAGCACCTAAATGATGCAGCTTAAGAGCCTAACTCTCATTTTGAGAAGAGAACATAGGCCTCTATGAGCCTAATTCTCATTGACAGTCAAAGGGATTTATGCTCCTAAATGCTTAAGACTCTTAAGTCACTTAGGAACTTTTGAAACTTTGAATCTAGGTGGTCAACCTATTTATAGCAGCGGCTCATTTGATATCTTTCTGCACTTCTGGGTTTCCTCTTCCAAATACACTTCAGGGTACACTGCAAAGGGGAAAATCACAGAAGTATTCAAAACTTCATTGAAGCAGCCAAATGTACACAGGAGAAATGTGCAGGGTCTCTTTAAGAAACTTGTAAGTATGGACAAGTCAAAAAGACGGTAACATTGGGAATTGCAGTCATTTGGGAGGGATTGAGGTAAAGGAAAGGGACTGAATCCAAAGCTTTCAAGCAACACTGAGATTTTTTTGGTGGTGTGCTTTTTAGTTTGTTTTTGCTTTGGTTTTGTGTGTGTGTGTGTGTGTGTGTGTGCGGGGAAAGGAAGGCAAATTGATGTGTGCTTTTGTTTTATTTTTAATTTGAATTTTGGAGTTTTTCCTTTATAAATATTTCTCTATAAAACCTGTTTTCAAAATAGATTTGTCCTTACTCATGTAGTCTTAACACTATAGGGTTGGAATGGTTTATCTTTAGATTTACTTAAAAAGTAAAGTGCATTTTCTCTTTGTTTTTTTTTAATACAAATTGTACTTCATTAGCACTCAGAGGAACCAAGCAACAAATACAGATATTGTCTGCTGTAACATAAACTGAATTTCTGAAGCTTAATATGAATATTTTAGTTCCTCTATTTAATCAGTTTATTCTTTACCTTCATTCTGTTTCACTCAAAACAAAACAGAATTCTCCCTCCACCTGTCACGAGAGGAAGGTTTGTCACTTTTCATTGCCTTTTGCTTCATTTGTTTAATAAAGAATTGATTGCTCTTTGTACTGTAACTTTATTTGTGTAAGCCATTTCTTACATGCTCATCACAACATAAAATATTTATTGCTTTTACTGTAATTCCCTGATAGTCTGTGGCCAGGTACTTAAAGTGTATATGTTCTTTTCCCACTTGTTATAGATATAGAAGAATACAGTACCTTATGGAATTACACTATATTCTCATTTCGCCTTGCAAAGCAGTCAGTAAATCACACCAAAACATTTCTGTGTTTTAGTCAAAACCATTATTCATTAAAAATTAACTAGAAGCGATTTGTGACGGGTTGGACTCCTTGGGAAGCCACCTGATGTGCTGAGGTACCACTGAGTCTACCTGTTCTGCTAACATGGGCCCCCTTTAACCTGTTTTGCTGAGCCAGGCTCTTAAAACCTCCTCTAACAAACACACAGGCAGGGCCACACCCAGCTGCGGATCAGCTCTGGGAAGACTCAGCTTCAGGGATTTGCTCCAGCACTCAGATGTCCACTTCCTTGGAGTACAGACCCAAAGATATATTATGAAATTTGCCCCCTCCCTCAATGTGGAGAGAGGTGTACAAACTTCTTACCTCCCTGCCCCCACCCCAGTTAGAAATTACAGAAACTGGGTTTAATAATAAACAAAACAATTTTTTTTAACTATAAAAAGCAGATTTTAAGGGGTAAAAGGGGTAACAAACAGAAAAAAGCAGATTACTAAGCAAATGAAATCAAACACTCAAACTAAGCTAGTTTCACTAAAAAAATTGGTTACAAATAGTATTTCTCACCCTAGATATTGTTGCAGGTAGTTTGCAAAGTTTCTGTGGTTCAGAGTTCCAGTTATATTCCTTTTCAGACTAGACCCCTGTTTCAGTCTGGACTCCCCCCTTGCCTTCTTTTTTTTGCAGTCTTTCTTCTTGGGCAGACAGTCCAGGGAAAGGAGGAGTCCTGTTTACCTTCCTTCCCACCCTTAAATAGGATTTGCATAAGGTGGGAATCCTTTGTTTCCCAAACTTGGCCCTCCTTCCCTTACATTGGAAAGTTACAAGAAGTCCCAGGTAATGTTTTAGTATCAGGTGACAAGACCACCTGGCTCTCTAGGATCACAGCGTCCATGAGTCAGTGGCAGTATGGAGAGTCCACAGGAAGGCCAAGCTTTTCACAGTCTATCGACCTCGCTGATGGGCCATCCGCCCTGTCTGGCTTTTCCATTTTTGTACCTGAAGTGTTAGCAGTGGGCGTCACCCAAAGTAGCATAGTTGAAATACAGATACATAGTCAATATTCCTAACTTCAGATACAGAAATGATACCGGCATACAAATTGGATACTGACATTCAGTAAATCATAACCTTTCCAATGATATCTCATATGAGCCATCTTGCATAAACTATATTTCAGTTGTGTCCTATTCAGATCATAAGCATATTTTCATAAAGAATATGGAATGACATGTCACAGTGATGCTTTGATAGTTTGGGGAGCATAAAAGCAAAGTTTATCTCTGTGCTAATCTTCAAAATCAAAAGTCTACATATTCAGTCTGGTGGCACACAAAATCAATCTCTTTTTTTGTGTGTGTGTGAAACCATCATTTCAAATTGCTACAATACATACGACAGAATATGGTGCAATGTAGATGCATTATCATGCAAAGAGTATTTTGATTTGATCACGTGCTATAATATTCTTTGTTCACTTATGGTTGATTCTACCTGTATAATTTCAATAATGTTCTGGTACCCATTGTAAAGAATGCTCTATAAGTCTTCATGTTCTATTGGTTTGAACCTTTTGATTTGATCCTTATAGTATAAAGAAGAATTATTTGTTTTAAAGAAGCTGTCTTATTTTTTCTGCTTGCGTTTTAAAGAAAATATTTTAATTCACTACAGCAACAGGAGATCTGGTGTACTACTGAACGTAAATAAGTTCCTCCATGCTTGTCATCTTACACTGATAGTATCATAAGACAAGTAATGACAGATTAAGACCTGCCTAGCAGAGGGAAAACTAAATTACAAGACTTTTATTAAGGCATAAATAAACCTATTAACCGTTATCTGGAATACCAATTAGTAGAAGGAGCACTGACAATTTTATTTATCAACATTAAACACAATTATTAATTACAGACCTGACGAATCTAGCAGTAAGCAGGACATGTTGGGTGTGCTGGGGCCTTAAGTCCATTATATGAGAAGGATGATTACCAAAATCCTGTGGGAAAATAAGTAATTGTAGCTGTAAAATTTTAATTGCCTTGGAATAAGGTAAATTATATTCTCTTGTCTCAGAATATAAATAGTATGGCATTAAGGTACCAAGCCTCACTAGTTTTAAACAGCAAATTATTTAGACAACTATGCTGAAAAAAAGAAAAACAGTCATAAATTTTCATTTTAAATATTGCAATAAAGTGATTTACCTTCTGCTGTCAAATGTGTGAACACATGCAAAGATATTTGTCACACAGTATGTACTTTGCATGCATCAGAAATTTTTGCATTTTATTAATCCAAAGGTTGGACTATACAAGAAAAAGGACTTAAAATACAGTATTGGAGGAGAATATAGAATTATTTGAAAAATTATATATTAACAAAACAGTTATTTTTATTGGGCCAAATTCTGCACTCATGTTTGTACATATAACTCCAGTGGTAGTCAGAAGAAGCCACACGTTATATCTGAAGGTAGAATTTGGCCCAAATTGTCTACTTGGGGAAGACTCCTTTTGATTGGAATAAGAGCATTGTCTGAGTAAGGACGTCAGGCTCAAGCCCAATGAGCTGAGTCTTCCTCCCTTAGTTCAATGGCAACATTCCCAACAATCTTATTCAGACATATATATGTTTTTGTAAAATAAGCATAAGAAAGAACCCACTTTTTTAATATGTATTTCTTTTTTTTTCCCTTAAAGATCCAAATTCCTGGCTTTGTGGACACTTACTCATAAGTGCAGCCAGGAATTCTTTTTCAAAACTCATGGACAAACTTAATGTGCTAATGGAGACTATAGCAGTGGATAGCAGCAGGACCATCACATATGTAGAGAAGGACTCCTTGGTTCAAAGACTGGCTCGTGGACTTCATAAAATAAATGCACAGGCACTAAAAGCTGGACTAGGTGATAGAATACCCATTACAGTATGTGTATTTCTTGCTGATTTATATATATATACAATTTCACAGAATAATTATAGTAGAGCTTTCAAAATAGTTATGATGCTAATTTCATTTTCAGGTTGTGCTTCACAGCTGACTTTAATTTAACTAACTCGTATACAAAATTAAATGGTGATTTACACCTGAAAAGATTGGGCCCTGAATCGGTTACATCTTTTAATATAAAATTAAAGAATTGTAAGGCAAGAGATTTGGTTGTATTAAGCTTGAAATAATTTTTCTCTTCTAAATACTATCAAAATTGAATTTTTTTTGTAAGGACATCTTGTAACCCCTTTTGAAGTTAAGATTAATGATTTTGTTAATTTTTTTCCACATTCTCTTCTTCCAGTGTACTTTGGTAATGCAAAATACATGTTATGTTTTTGCAAAAACTCAGTTAAACTTCTTCTCCCCAAATATCTATTCTATGTATGTATGTATTTAGGAATTTTTCAGTGACCCACAACAGCAGGTGAAACAGTGCTTTGTGTGTGTGTGTTGGTGGATGCGTGCAGAATGAAAGCTTCATTTAATTTGCTTGGGTATTAAAAGCTATTGATTTATTGCTAAAATAGCACATTTTATAGCACATAAAATTGTTTCCGTTTACTAACAGAAAAGCATAGCATCCTTGCAGAAGCAAATATTTGAATTTACACAAAGGCTGCATACAGCAGAAGTGGAACGCCGTTCACTACGCTTAGAACTCACAGAATTCAAACGGAATTTGAATGAGATGAAAAAAGAGGCTGACAAAGCCCAGAGCCTGCAAGAGCAATTAAATGCATTTAAGCAATCTGTAAGTATATTTAATTTAGGAAAAGACTGGCTTAAAGGAAAGCCTCCTTTTACATATTTTTGATTTGTGTTCTTTAGAAAAATAAGTATAAATCCAGTTATTAACAGAATTTTCCAGAAAACTTGCCCCATGAATGTCACCAAGCTGCAAGCTAGATGTATTAAAAAGTGACTTTTTTCCATAGGAGTTTTTTTATTTTTCAGAATGAGATATTTTGGGTGAATTACACGTTTGCTGTTTGACAGACCCAATTTTTCTTTCACATGCTGAAAATGTTCATTTCTGATTTACACACCATACAGGACTTATATATGTTCCCTCAAATAGGACAGTCATGCATTTTTAATAAGTATGGTACATTCATGACAACATTGTACAGCATAAACACAATATTTTAAGCTCTGTTTTACCCTTGCTCCATATTCTGAAACACCTCTTTACTGTATCTTTTGTTATGGGTTAAGTCCTGAAGCTAGTTTGTGTCAACAAGTGCAATCTTGAGAATAGTTTGTCTCTTGTGGGAGAGAATTTATGCAGATGATTTTACCACATCCCCAGCAGGCTGTATTTGCCAAACCCTCTCTCTGTGCCTCTTCCTGGAGCCACTGGATCTACTACAGCCATAAGGCTGCGTTGATCACTGCACAGCTACAGCTGGTAGGGATGAAAGGGAGAGACTAAAAACAGGTCCCTTTACCTTTTTAAAAAAACCCAAACTGTCTAGCACAGGATCGATAGAATTACTTCAAGGGCTGTATCCTCCATCGTCTCTTGACTGTGCAGGGAATGGAGGTTTTTTCAGACTGATGCATCCTCATTGCAGATCAGAGGCTGTTCTCCATTGTAACCACGTGGCAGACTCTCCACAGTTGGCAGGGAGTAATTCATTCTCCTCTAGGAGGTTGGAGATGTACTGGGCATCTTCACCGCCTCCCCTAACAAAACTCTGAGCTCATTTCTGTAGAGGGCATTCAGATCAAGTCAATCTTCATCCAGGAAAAGGGAATGAACAGTTATATGAGTGCTCTGTAACTTCCCTGGTGTCTGTAGAAACATCCTGTTTTTGGGATGTGTAGTAGCTTCCACAAATTGTGATGGATTTATTTTCTGAGGACTCATCAACACCTAACAATCATGTGCACAAGAGAGGTATGATTTTTTTTAAGCACACCAACGTGTCCTGCACTAACTGGGCTGTGTAGACCCTGCTGTCACGAACTAAAAGTTCCCTATTGTGTATTAATGTAGTGCTGCATCAAACAGTGGAGATAGGAGATCAAAGTGTTCTGTAACTTAATTTTCCCACATCAAAGGTCTGTCCATTGTGCTTACTGTCTCCAGCAGGTAGAACAGCTGAACAAGTGTATCTCATGTCTTCAGTTTTGTTTTTAACAGGCTTTTTTCCCTTACACTTTCTTAAATTGTCAGATTAAATTGTCACTTTTTAGATAGTTAAGTGCTGTCCCTCAGGAGACACTTACTTTCTTTGTCTTCTGGAGCACTCTGTGAGAAGCAGGTCCACACAGGAATTTATAAGGGGTTAACAGGTGTTGTGGAAAAAGTCACCCACGCATTGATTTAGTTCACAGACTCAAGCCTGAGGCCAGTTTATTGCAATACATACCAACGTGTTGGGGTAGCAGTCCGAAAACTACCACCCTTAGCACAGCTCGCAGGCTGCCTTTATTCCGTCAAACTGCAAGCATAGTACAAATAATACATCATTTATGCGAAAATAAGAGTAGGGGTCTGTCCCTTTTTCCCGGTAGCTTCCTCATTATTTACGAGAATTGGGTGCCTATTGGATGGGGGAGTTTCTTGGTGGTTTTGGCATGGGTGGTACTTGGCACTAGTTGGGGTGTTTTTCGTCAGGGTACATATTGTTTTCGGGGGGGAGGGGAAAGGCGGGCATAGGGGTTTATTACAGGACGCCGAAAGATGATATATGATTGGCTGGTGACAAGTAGCTGGAACTATAGGAGGAGCTAGCCTTTACTAGAAGCAATTTCTTCATATAAGCCATTACTATGTTTCATCAACAAGCGGTTATCATGTTGCTAAGGCCTTTCGCATGGCTTCCTTCCCCTCCCTCCTCTGGTCATGGCCCCTGTCCATATTTGGCAGGGAATTGTACAGCTTAGCTTTGTTCAGGTTCTGGCCTGTACTGCTTTATGTAAAGGCCATCTGTGCAGTTAGCTTCTGTCAGAGGGCCTGAATGTGGGCCTTCGGTGTTACTTTGGTTGTTATAGAGAAGGCCACCTAGTTCTTTTTCCCCACACAGGGTTTGTACTGAAATGCAGAAATACTCAGCTGCAAATTCCCTCCTTTAGTAAACACTTTTTTTTTTAACAATTGAGATGTGTCCTCTTTGATCTGTTTTGGAATCACACAAAAAAATTTTCAGTATACTTTGTAAATACACTACAGATTTTCTTAAGAAAATACAATGAATAAAGTAATTTAACAATGTTTTGCAATGATCTTCGCTTTAGGAAAAAAGGTCTCTTGGGCAGATATTGAGCATTTAAAAACTTTTTGCATTAGAATGTTGTGTATTAGCAAGTGGAATTCTAAAAGTGAAGTGGATAAACAATGGAGTTATTCCATGATAGAACACAATTTATTTCCTTTATCAGAAATTGATCACCCATGAGAGGTTTGAAAGTGCATGTGAAGAACTGAATAATGCATTACATCGAGAGCAGCAGGCACAAATGCTTCTGAATGAGCAGGCACAACAGCTACAGGAGTTAAATTATAAACTGGAATTGCACTCAAGTGAAGAAGCGGACAAAAACCAAACCCTAAGTGAAGCTGTAAAGGTAGGACAATATTGCTTCTAAATAGAGAACAGAAGTTGTGTTTGCCTCTCAAGTGCATGGGCTAACATTGGCAACCCTCACAAGTACTCTTATGAATAATCCCATGAAGGTAAATGGGACTGTTTGCAGGAATAAGGATTACTCAATCCAATGAGAGTTGAGGTTGATCAGGAGATAATTATTACCTTTTATGATGAGGTCTTGTAGCGTGTAGCGTCCATTTTTAATATTGGGAGTGGCATATGTGCACTGGAAAATATTATCACTATTTATTTGTTAAGCATTGACAATTAATTTGTTCCTGTACAAGATACAAATCAAGACAGTCCCTGTCTTGAGTTTATAATCTAAAAGATAGAGGATGACACTGAGGGCTTGGCTACACTTGCAAGTTAGACCGCATTAAAGCAGCCCCAGGCGCCCTAACTCATGACCCGTCCACACTGGACTCTGCAGCTCAGCGCCTGGACTCTGCAGCTGGAGCGCTCCTGGTAATCCACCTCCACGGGAAGCATAACGCTTGCTGCGCCTCGGCTGAAACGCCCCAGCGTCAGTCTGAACGGGGTGTTGCATTACTGCGCTTTGATCTGCCTCCAGAAACGTCCCATAATCCCCTTAAGTCAAGTGTCCACTCTTGTTTTTTTTTTTTTTAACTTCGGCTGTAGGAATGCGGATATGCCCTTTCAAAGCTCCATTTCTGACAGCCGGCATGCTTATTTGCCATTAGTGTGGAATGCTGCTTGCTGTGAGTGTGTGTGAGAGAGAGAGAGACAGGGGAGAGGAAGGTCTACTGCTGTCTGAACTTACACGACAGCATGCTGACATGCTCTCAGCCCCCCAGAAACCCATTCTCTCTCCCCCCACTTACACACAAAACACTCCCTGTCACACTCCACCCCATCCCCCCCCCATTTGAAAAGCACGTTGCAGCCACTTGCATGCTGGGATAGCCACCACAATGCATTGCTCTCTGTGGCGTTGCAAGAGCTGTTAATGTGGCCATGCCAGTGCGCTTGAATCTGACAGTGTGAACACACTGCAGCGCTTTCCCGACTGCGCTCTCCGAGGACTGGTTTAACTTACAGCGCTCTTCATCTGCAAGTGTAGCCATGCCCCCAGACAGGTAGTCAATATTGACTTTTAAAAATTAATTATTCTGATCTCTCTCTCTCCTCAAATGTAACTTTGGGCGGAGAAAGCATTTGACTCAGTTTAGCATACATTGGAGTGAGTAAAAGGAGTAGGGGCCCTGTCTCATTAGGATTTAGAAGCTGTCCCTTGCATAAGGGATAACAAGGGGAAAAGGAAATGAAATGAACGTCAAGACTACAATTTTGCCAAAATGAAGGAGTGGAGAACGAATATGAACAGAAATCAGAATAATAGATTAAAGCCAGAACAGACCAATGTGATGATCTAGTCTGACCTCCTGCATATCACAAAACATAACCTTTCTCCAAATAATTTCCACATCAAGCCAAATAGCTTGTGGTCAAACTAGAGCATATTTTTTAGAAAGGGATCTAATCTTGATTTAAATGTGATGGAGAGTTTACCACTACCATATATTGTATGTAGACTAGAATGGAGCTGAACAGGTATTTTAAGATAAGGGTATGAAGTTTAAACTTGATGTTAAGTAGTAAGAGCTAGTAGAGGTATTCAGAGAAGTGTGATAATCTATAATTTTTGCAATTACATTTTGGACAAGCCAAAAGGTAGCAGAGCATGGACAACTATTATATCTTCAGGTCAGAAAGAAAGGATTGGTTCAATACATTGTGGAGAAAGATGTAACACGATGTTGTAAATATGAGTGATAGGGAAAATAGGGGTGTCACTTGTGACAGAGTGATGAAGTGGGAGAGGTTTAGGAAGAAAAATAGAGCTTAGTGTTGGATGTGTTAATCTTGAGCTGACAGCAAACAAGCCAGGATATTTTGGAGAGATGGTTATGTATTTGGAACTGGACAAAAAAAGAAAGGTGAGGTATGCAGATATAGATTTGAGAGTCATTGGCATAATTAATATGTGATTAACCATGAGATTGCTCAGTGATAAGGTGAAAAGGAGGGGGCCAACAACAGAGTATTGTGCGAATCCAACAGAGAGGGGAGGAAGATGAACTGTGAAAGAAGAGAAGTCAAGAGGTTGGAAGAAAACCAAGAATATAGGCTATGAAAAGCAATAGGCGAGAGAGTAATCAGCAATATCAGAGGTAGTAAAGGGGTCAAAGAGGATGAAGAGGGAACAGAGGGCATTGGATTTTTTTATATATTTATATACACTATGAAACCCGTTCTATTACTCTTGGGGTTTATAAAGGCTTTTTTTTTAAAATTGGACCAAATATAAATAGATAGTGTCATTTAAAGCAGCAGTTATAAATGGCCTAGTCAAGAACTTAGAGGTGAAAGCGGGGAATGGAAATGGTAGTTAGGGAGAGGTGTCAGGTCAAGAATGTGGGGTTTTCTTTAGAGTGGTGGATGCTAGGGAAGGGGCCAGAAGAGAAGAAGTAGTTCACAGTAGCTATTCTTATAATTTGAAGTCTTCATTGGAATTAGTTGCAAGTTGCCTTATATACTCCTACCTGTTATGTAACCAAACTTAATAGATTACTTCCTAGCTTTTTATAGTAAGAAAGCAATTAAAATGTCCTCTTTCTAAGATCTGTTTGTTCACTACAATGGAGGATTTTGTTTTCTAGTCTTCAGAAACGAAGGTGACCCTTTCCTTTAGAATAATGTATTCTATTAGTTGGAGGATTCCACTTCCTATTTCCAAGCTTGTTTTTTTTATTAAACAAAAATTCATATAGCCCTTTCCACTGTAGTGTACCTTATTGTCATAATTCTGCTGTTTACACCTCCAACAGTTGTTGGCTATTGGGAGATTATGGTTTATTCTGGCTAGATTGAATAAATGTAATCCACTGGAACAGGCTGAGATTTTACCCTCTCATGATAGGGTGAAATCCAAGAATGTGGAGGAAATGGCTCTTTGAAAGATTGCATTCCACATTTCACATTTGTATTAAGAGTCACTTGTCTTTTGAGAAACTATGCAGAAAATAGAATGGACAACATCCTCAATTCTGACAACGTTGATATTTTCTTTGGCTTGTTTGGCCCAAGGACAGCTACTGTGCTCAAAACTCCTACATTAATAACTTTTTTGAAGGGAATATGGCCAACTAGGTGCCCAGCCTTGACTATTTAGTCCTTTTTAGTATTGGCTACTGAGATTATTTTAGAACCACTGAGAGAAGAAAATTTTTAAAAAATCAACAAAGTAATGGGTTAGCATAGATATTAATGTTCAACAGTCTTTCTTAACCTCTGGCTTTGTTTGAATCTATAAAATATAATATTCTATTTACAAATCATTCTCTACTCTACCCCTTGCTTTTTTCTTTCTAATAGCTTTCACTCCTCTTCAGATTATTGTTACTCTGAAAGTCAATAAAACAATCCAAAGAATAGTTGCATATTTAAATATTTCTTGGATTTGGGGAGTAAGAATTTTCATGCAGTATGCTACAGAACTATTGCGGTAACAGGTGATAGAAATATTTTGCATTTAAGAACTCATGTTACTTTTCAAATTTTTAAAAATTAAATATCTATTTTGTTTATCAAAAGCTTTCGTTGCTAATTGCCTGAATCGTACATCTCTTCAGGATTAATGTCACAGGCAGAAAAATGATTTGCACCTGTGTCCCACATATTTTAACTGGCAGGTAGTCTCTCTTCTTCAGCTGCTTAGATTCAGACAATCCCTTTTTTTGTGTACTGCAAGATCATTCTTTTCATTAAAAATATATAACTGAAATATCATGTCCTGTCACACTCGCTAAATACATATCATTTATAAATGAACCCAACACAAAAGCATGTACAAAATTAGAGAGTAGTACATTGTATAAAAAGTGACACATTTTAAGATGAATTTTTTAACTGAATTTGACAAAGGAATAATCTTGATGAAATTTTAACAGCTGACGCTAAAATAGTATACATTGAAATCTTTTTTAAAAACATGATTACTTTAAAATATCAATTTGTCATAATTTTCTAACAAAGAATAAAATGAAGAAATTGTTCAGCATTTTGAAATTTGATTCCCTGGTTTGAAATTTATACACACTTCAGTAGTAATCAGTAAGAAGATATCTCAGCTTTCACTTACTTTCATAAAGTAGGTTTATTAAAGCAGTGTTGCTTAATTTCTTAGCCTTATCAGTTTAGATTTTCATCCCATATATTTTTATCTTCCTAATAGCATTTACCACTGTGACACACATGGCAGCCAATTACAATTCAAGGTCAGATAGGACTAAGCAACAATTCTAATAAAATAAGTGGTGTAAGATTAGGTAAGTTACTAGCTCTGATCCCAACTGTCTGTGTAGAAAAAGAGAGACTTTTTGTGCTTGCTAACGAGGTATCCAAAGCACAAAGTATAGAATTTTACTTCTGCTGAAAGCATGTGTTAATTCCAAACAGTAAAATCCTCATTTTACCTACTTACAGGCACTATATCTATATCTATATCTATATATCCAATTCATTTTAGAATTTTAGAGATGCATGTTAGTACTATAAAATATAATTAAAAGAATAAAGAATTTTACTACACAGTAATTTATGAAAGGATTCCTTGTAAATTGATAATAAACAGGGCAATATCTTGCATACATCTTTTGCCATGTTGCGTCCTGTAACTTACTACTGACCTAGTCCAAAAGAATGAAACATTATTTAAAGGGGAATAACATCTGGGGCTAGATTCTGTTCTCATTTACGCTGTCATTAACCCTGAGTGGCTCTGTTGATTTCAGTGAAGTTACTCTTGATTTATAACTGTGCGAGAGCAGAGTTCAGTCCTGGAGTTTTGAAAATGTATTTACTGTAGCAGTCCCTTCTAGATTGGAGTTGAGATGAGCCATTTAGGTTTTTTAGATATTTCTAAATCATTATATATAGATAGCCATAACTTAT